GGGGACTTATAGGTTGCAACCAGCCCTTAGAATGAATTGTGCCTGGAAATACACCAGTAGCCAAAGAAGCATTTTTAAGTTGCGTGTGCAAGTGCGATACGCCTCCCACCGCCAACCCAAGAAGTACACTCACACAAGATGTGGGATGAACAATGGCCACAACTCATTTATTGATAACAGGAACAAGGGTTGGCAGCCAAGCATGGGTCCTGGATCATGATCGGGCAGCCCAATACTGCCTGATCCCAAGCACGCCAGGGGGCCGCCGGCACAATACCAGGCAAACGCAACCCGGCACCCCTGGTCCCACCGAGCGTCCCCCCCTAACCGCTAGGGGGGGGGTACCAAACCGGATCCAGGGCCCATGCCCCACGCCACAAAAGGGGGGGGGTGGGTGGGAACCGCACCCCCCTTGCCGCCAACCCCAGAGCCTGCTCAATAAAGGAAGCCCAAATGCAAAACTGGCCATCTTAAGGTCCTTTACTGAATCTGGGTCTGTTCTTGCCCGCTGGAGGGGCTGCATGTAATGTGGGCGGAGCTCCTTCCTCCTGCCCCCAATGTCTGTTGTCCTTTCCTGCATGTCTCCGTTCCCAGACCATGTCCTCAGCTTGCGTCCTTGCCATGCTGACGCCTGACTGCCGCTGTTCCACGCCTGCTCCGCGCATGACTCCTACTTCCCTTCCCGACCATAACCGACCTGTCGATGGAAGAAAAAGAACAGCCGGCAGATCGGGTTCCTTCAAGGAGAAGGCCCGGCCTGATATAGGACGCATAAGCTGAGGATTTCCAGCGCCCCATGGATTTTATTACTTCAACTGGGACACCACCCGCAGCAGCTGTGGTGGCCACCCCTATCCTAAAGGAGTGCCCACCAAATTCCGTCCGAGGGAGGCCCAAATGCTGGAGGGCTCCTCGGAAAACAGCCATGAACTGGTAACGTGTGAGAGGGCTGCCGTCTCGGTGGATGAAAAGGCAGCCAGGAGTAGAGCCTCTCGTGCTAAGGAACGTGGAAAGGGACTGCAGGGGGCACAAATGCCCTGGTTCCAAACCCCGGATGAGCAGTGAAACCCCTTTTCCCAGTTGGTCTGTTTTGGACTTGCGGATCCTCAGGGCCAGGGCATTGTCCTGAACTGAGATGTCCTTGAGCTGCAGGGCCCTGTTAGAGGCATCAGCTTTGGAATTGGCCACCACCTCCCCCAGCCGGAGGGCCCCAAAGAAAGCAGTTGTGAAGGCTGCAGTGAATAACTTAACTTCATATCGCAAGGGGCAGATCCCTTTGAGTGCCTGGACGATTTGACTGAGGGTCTTGTATGATAAGGGGCGCCTGGTGTCCCGTTGCCTGGGCGTGTGCTTCCTCCAATTCCAGAGGAGCTTCCTGACTCTGAATGCTTGGCATGGATCGCCAAACCCGGCTGCTTTGCTGTAGAAGGCAATCCCCGCTAGCTGGAGCCGCATGGAATGTGCAGTCACGTTGTTTCTCCTTTGGTGGATGAGGAAGTGTACAATCTCATCCTCAGAAACTGGCCACCTGCTGCCGTATCCAACTTCCAGCCTGAACTTGGTGAACCTTGCCATGGCTGCCCGGTATGCCTTCTGTGTCGCTGGCGCGATGGAGTCCATCAGTCCTGTCCAGGCTTCCCATCTCCAAGGGTCCACAGGTCTGGTGGGAAGCTGGTGGGCATTGCATCTGCACCTGGTGCTAGGGAGCGAAACCTGTCCTCCTGGAAACGGGACAATGCATCGGCTACTTCGTTGTTCATGCCTGGAATATACTGTGCTGAGAAGGTGATGTTAGCCTCCAAACATATTAAAACAAAGTGCCGGACCAGCCTCATGACCCTGAGCGATTTGGAAGACTGCCAGTTGACTACCCTCACCACCGCCTGGTTGTCACACCAGAACCGCACCCTCTTGTCTCGGAATAGGTTGGTCCAAATTCGCACTGCCACCAGGATAGGGAAGAACTCGAGGAATGTGAGATCCCTGAGGATGTTACCCTTCCTCCAGCTGTCTGGCCATTTGGCAGCGCACCAGTGCCCTTGCAGGAAAACCCCGAAACCGATACTCCCTGCTGCATCCGAATGCATCCGAATGTACCTGCAACTCGGCCCCAAGCTCCCACCTGGCCTGCCACATGGACACCCCGTTGAACCCCCTGAGAAACTGGAGCCACACCCTGAGATCTTCCCGCATACCTTGCGTCACGCGGATCCTGTGGTGGGGGGCGCGCACCCCAGCCATTGCCCGAGCTAAACGAGCGCAGAAGGGCCTTCCCGGGCATGGCCTTGTCATAGTACCATAGACCATTAAATTTGAATCCCAGGAGGTTGAAGTCCTCCGGGTGGACTGGGAGGAGCCGAAATGCTGACTGAATGTCGCATTTTGCCATCAGGGCCCCTGGTCCCTTGGCCTGCACCAAGCTGACAGCGTGGTCAAAGGAGGCGTACTTGACTGAGCAGAGCTCAGGAGGGATGGCATCATTGACAGAGGCCCCTTTTGTGTAAGAGAGGTGGTGGATGAGCCGGAACTCGCCTGGGGCCTTCTTGGGGACCACCCCAAGAGGGGAGACCCTGAAATTGTCCAAGGGGGGGGGGGCTGGAATGGGCCAGCGATTCTCCCAGCGGCGAGTTCCTTCGCGATTTTGCTGCTGAGTACCTCGGGCATCTGGGCCGCTGATTTTAAATTGCCCGAGGTGCAGGCCCTCCTTGGTCCCGTGGCTGGAATGCGGAAGCCGGAGGAGAAACCTTCTTCGAGGAAGGATGCGGCCGCCCTGTTGGGATACGCCCTGAGCCAGGGGACCATGGGTGGGAGAGAGACGGGGGTGCTGGCTAGGACGGAGTGGCCAGGAAGGGGTTCACTTACCCTGTCCTGTAGTGGCTCCTCCAGCCTCCTTCCTGGTGCCGGGCTGTGCGCCAGCCCGGCCTGCCCGAAAGGGCTGCAAAGTGCCCGGTTGCTTGCTGCAAGACATCTTGGTGTGCCCTCCTGCGCAATACTCGCAGACATGATCAAAACGGCATTGCGCCCGCTGGCATTTTCCCATGTTGAACTCCCAGCAAATTGCCCTCTTGGAGTCCCGCCTGCCCCATGCCCTGTCCGACCTCCTAGACTCTGGCTTACCTCTGATGCTGGGCCCCACCTCAGTGAGCCAGATGTCGTGATTGATAAGGTCCCATCTGGCTCTGGCGCTCTGGGATGCCCTCTTTCTGAAGGCTGCGTCATAAGCAATGGCTGCCGCATCGCCCGCCAGTTCTCTGGCCCTGGTGACGTGCTTCAGGTGATTGAGCAGGTGCCACCCCCGCTCGGGAAAAGCCGCTGTGACCACCCCGAGAACTCCGTATAACCAGCCACCCAGTTGGCAAAAGTCCGCTTGGCTGGCCTGCTCCTGTCCCTCTTCCGATGCCTGCTCTTGGAAGGGGGTTTCTGGCCCTCTTCCCCTAGTGTCTTTAGCAGGGTGAAAATATCGACGTAGTAACCCCCCAGGATCTTACTCCTAAGGCGAGGGGAAAGGTGGGAGCCAGGCGGATCCTCATTGTCCTGGAAGGGGGGGGGGAAGGGCCGGGTTGGAGGACTTGCAAGCCCTGCAAGGGGGACCGGTGATGTCCCTAGTCTCTGACCTGCACTGGATGGCCCACTCGGGGAGGCCTGGCACGAGGGCCTCCGACCTCCAGTAATTATCCCTGTCCACTGAGTCAGCCAGGGCGTACTCACGCTCCGAAGAGTCGCTGTCTGAAGAGTAGCGGTGACGGCGTTTGGAAGACTTACGCCTCTTTGCTTTCGGTTTGCTCCTGCAACGACGATGCCGTGGTCCTGGAGAAACCTCTTCCCCCTCGTCGCTGTATATTGTCTCACTGGATGCCTGATCGCTGGGCCCCGAGTCAGCTGAGGTGTTATCGTCACTCTCCCTGCGCCTCCCCCGCTTGCTACGCTGGTGGTCCCTTCCCCACTGGGAAGCTGATGCCGCTCCTGGTTGAGAATACACCTTTGACTCGAGCTTACCCAGCCTGTCCACGATGGTGGCGATGTTCTGGGAGATCCCCTCCATGTTTTGGGAGATCCCTTCCAGCACGGTGGCCTCCTGGTTGGCCACGTGCCCTGAAGGGGCCTGGATAGCTGCTGGTCCAGCTGGCACCGGTCGCCCTCCTGAAGGTTCCGCATCTTTGCTTCTCCTGGTGGCCCGTGCTGGAGCCAATGCCGCCGTCCAGGTCTCGGCCGCCTTCGTAGCCGACTTCCTCTTAGGAGCCATGCGGATGGAATCCTGTGGGACAGAACTGCACAGAAACCACAACCGCTTTAGAGGCAGCTCCGAAGGGGGGGGGGAGGGCCTGCGCACTGGAGTGCGGCTGCGCTCCTGCAATCACTTCTTTCCAGTACAGCTGCGAAAACTGGTCACAGAACTGGGATATTCTTTTTTTTTTTTTTTTTTTTGATTTAAGGCAGTTGAAATTTTCCAAGCCTTCTCTGAGAAAGGGTGGTGGTGCCTCACGGAACTGCCAATGCCAGGGTGCCTAGCATTGAGCGCTGGCTGAAAATCAGTGCCAAACTGCATTGATGCCTAAAGCAGAGGCACTCAATGCCACCACTACAATAAAATATGTTCTGAGAAGGTGGACGATATATACAAACGTATATAAATATATAGGAATATGAATATTTTGAATTCCCGGCGGGGGAAGGCCAGGCGGTGAGCAGGCCGCAGGCCAGGCCCCGCGCCGGAAGTAGGCCGCAGCCACCCGATTGGCCCCTTGACCCACCGGCGGGAAACCTTCCCGCCATCAGAGGGGGCTTCTGGAAGGGAGAAGCCCCCTTAGGCAAGAATGGCGGTGGGGAACGCCCTGCACCGCAACTTCTTTGGCCCGGTGAGTCTGGCCATGCCTTTAAGGGACTTCTGTGCATAGAGAACGGCTTGCATGGTGCCCAGGAAGACAGAGAAAAGGAAAAGGTTGGGCAGAGGCGGAGTCATCAGCTGCTTTCCAGAAAGAGAAAGGCTGAGAAACAGCTTTGTCTGGTCTCTGCAGTGGAGAAGCATTGGTAGCCATGGCCTCTGGAGACCTTGTGAAGAAGCTTTGTGAGGAACTGGCCTGCTCCATCTGCCTGGAGTATTTCAAGGAGCCCGTGAGCCTCTCCTGTGGGCACAGTTTCTGCCAAGCCTGCCTGGATCAAGGTCGGGAGGAGGAAGAGGCCTCCTGCCCACAATGCAGGGAGAAAGTGCAGAAAAGGGGCATCAAGCGGAATTGGAAGCTGGCAAACTTGGTGGAGATCGCCATAGAAATGGAGAAAGAAAAGGGGAGACTCTGCCAAAGGCACCAGGAGCCCCTGAAGCTCTTCTGCAAGGACCATGACGCCCCCATCTGTGTGGTATGCGACAGGTCGAAGGAGCACGAAAACCACAAAGTGATCCCTCTGGATGAAGCATCAAAGGAGTACAAGGTGAGGCGGGGGGTTAAATAGGTACCCCTAACAATTATTATTATTATTATTATTATTATTATTATTATTATTATTATTATTTTATTAAACTTTATTTGTACCTCACTAGCATCTCCCGAAGGACTCGATGCGGCTTACAAAGGCCAAGGCCTCAATACACAACATACAACATACTTAAAGCAAATTAAAAACAATTAAAGCAGTATTAAACAACAAGAACCACAAGCAATCAACAATACATCAAACAAGATAAAACTGGGCCAGCCAGAGTAAAGGGTACAGGATTTAAAGTGCTGATGTGACAGGTGATATGTAAGGATGATAGGCAAGTGCAATGTGCAGTGTGTGGCAGTCTTAATGCTAATAAAGTGCGTCTGGGGCTTGCTATTGGAGATTTCCTAATCAGGAAAGGCACATCGGAACAGCCAGGTCTTCAAGTTCTTTCTGAAGACTGCCAATGTAGGGGCAAGGTGTTGTGGTACATCTCCACCCCATAATACAGGTCTGTGGCTGGAGTTCCATATTTCCCCAGGCTCTGATGTTTTCAGGGATCAAGGGTGCACCTTTTCATGAAAATGAACAAAATCTGGCTACCAGTATTAAACAACTCTAAAATTACAACAGCAAAACAACAGAGAGGAAACAACCAGGCACAGATTAACACCTCCCAGCAAGAGATTTTCCCAGGCTCAGACAGGCCTTCAAATGCTAATGAAGGTGATCAGCTGAAACATTCACACCTAACTGCAGCAGGGAAGAGCTCCTTGCCCCACCCCAGCCATTCCACAGATATATAAACCCTTTGTCCTAATTCCAACAGACCTCACTACCTCTGAGGATGCTTGCCATAGATGCAGGTGAAACGTCAGGAGAAATGCGTCTAGAACATGGCTCTATAGCCCGAAAAACCCACAAGAACCTAGAGTGATACCAAATTGAGGAGTTTTATATCACACTTCTCTTCATTGGCTCAGTTCTGCCAATTCAGCCATTCAGAGTCCCATAAGCAATTTGAGCAATTTATGTGTGTGTGTGTGTGTCAGACAGTATTGGATTAGTGAGGAATAGTGGAAAGTGTGAAGAGGAAGAGAATCCCATCTTTTGATGTGATCTTGCTCCCATCATGCTGGCACAGAAGGGGATGGGACACATTGCATCAAAGTAAGAGACAGGAATGTTGCGGGATTGTGAGCTATAGGTGGATTTTCACGGACAATATCTAGGGAGGGAGGGGGCAAACCGGCACCAGGATGAACCTGGCATCATACAATAAGGATGCAATGTCACTTTGCCTGCCTCCTGCGATAGCATCCATCAACTGCATCTCCAAAATAACATTGATTAGTAGAGGAATAAAACCTGGGATTTTCAGATACCTTTTTTTCATTTGGAGGGACTTTTTATGAGTAAAGATAATTGTGGAAGCAGTAGTAACAAAAGAAGAGTGGGCTTCCAATAGAGGCCAACATTGTCCAAAGCACCCATAAAATTCAATAAATGTGGTATGGTTGATGGTATGATCTTTGAAACCATTCTAAACCTTGACGAAAAGTAGTGACCAAGAGCTTTCTTTTCCTCTTCAGGATCAGATTTGGAATTATCTGGAGACTCTGAAGAAGGAGAGAGAGAAAATTCTGGCCTACAAAGCAGACACAGCACGAGAAAGCAAATATTTGCTCGTAAGTGGCATTGCTACTTGGTATATGACCTCCACAGAGAGCTAGACAGGGGGAGTGTGTCCTTGTTGGTTCTCTTGGATATCTCAGTGGCTTTTAATCCCATCAACCAGGGTATCCTTCTGGATCGGCTCTCTGGAATGGGTCTTGGGGGCATTGCTTTGCGGTGGCTCCGCTCCTTGGAGAATCACACCCAGTTATTGAAGGTGGGGGACCCCTGGCCTTTGACCTGTGGGGGTCCTGCAAGGTTCCATTCTATCCCCCATGTCTGGATCTGTAGCTTTCTGGTGAAAGAATTGCCTCACAAACAAAGTTGGAAGGCTTTAATTCAAAAGCATGCAGTAGGGGATGCAACAAAATTCCAACTGCCAGTTTATTTCCCCCACGCCACCTATCCTTCATGTTGGCCCTTTCCCTTCATTGTCCCATTTCCATGGCAACCTTCTCCCTTGTTTCAAATATAGACAGGCCAGATGTAAGGCATGGCCTAATTTCCTGGCTTCACACGAAACCAGGAAATAAGGTCATGACACCCCATGCTTTTTAACATCTACATGAAACCACTGGGTGAAGTCATCCAGAGTTTTGGAGTTTCGTGCCATCTGGTCAGTCACGAGGCCAATCGGGGTATAGGGTGGCAACCTATGCTCAATGAGGTTACACTCCTCCCAAGGTCACAGGTCCACAGTCTGGTGGTCCTCCTGGATTCAGTGCTGTCACTTGATGCTATCAGCAGTGGCTGGGAGGGCCTTCGCACAATTAAAGCTCATGTGCCAGCTGTGACCGTACCTCAACTTGGCCAAGGTGGTCCATGCCTTGGTTACTTCTAGATTGGATTACTGCAATGCGCTCTACATGGAGCTGCCTTTGAAGATGGCCCGGAAATTGCAGCTGGTGCAAAGGTCAGCAGCCAGACTTCTAACCAGAGCGAATTATATGGAGCGCATAACACCCCTATTAAAGCAGCTCCACTGGCTGCTGATGTGTTTCTGGTCCCAATTCAAAGTGCAGATTATGATCTATAAAGCCCTAAACAGTTCGGGCCCCACCAATCTTTGTAACTAAGATCTGCCAAGGAAGCCCCACCAATGTCACAAGCATGATTTGTGGTGCCCCCCCCCCCCCATTTTGGAGATCAAACAAGCCCCTACACTGTCCTTGAAAGCCTGGGTGTTTCAGCTAGCATTTGAGAATGAGTAGTCCCTAGTGACATATGCCCAGTCCCTAGTTTGCCAGATAGTTCTCTGGTCTCTGCACTTCATCCAGCTTCCAGGCCCTGTGGTACGCCGCTTTGCACTATCCCATGTTCACACAGGCTAGAAAAAGTATTTTTGGTTTTTGTCGAGCATTGTTTTGATGGTGCTGCTTTATATTCTTTTTTATACTCTATTTCACTTTGTTCTTATCTGGATTGTTAGGGAGATGGTGGCAGGGTATAAGAATACAGTTGCTATTGTTGTTGTTGATGATGATGTTGTTGACTTGAATGTGAGTCTGAATAAACTGAATTTCTTTTTTCAAAAATATCTCACATTGTAAGAGACATGGCAGCCTACAGACAATACTGACCCAAACCCATTCCAGTGGCAGGCCCTTGCAGGCCTTCACAAACCGCTTTCACCACTGGATATTGACTTTTTCTTTGTGAAGAGATGTAAGCTCCACTTCAAAGGAATGTGGAGAATTCACTCCAAAGACCCCCTTTCTGCCTCTCACAACTGTTTCTCCTTTCCTTTTTTCTAGGAGAAAACCCAGAGAGAGAAGGAGAAGACTGTGGCTGCATTCATTTTGTATTTCTGAAAGTGAATGTCTTATAATTTTCTGACCGAATAGAACATTTTTAAAAGCGTCATACCCTCAACTCACATCCTTCAGGTTTTTCTCACTCACGCTAATCACGCTATCCAGCTCAGCTCAATGGAAACATTCAGCTAAGGCAATGAATACTCAAAAGGGACAACCTCTTTCTGCAGATCTTTAATATTCCAGACGTCTCCCCAGTCCTAATAAACTCTACAAATCTATATCTTCCCTGGGAGAGGAATCATGTTTCTGTAGTACATTCTGTATTAGCCGAGACAGCTACTATAAAAAGATCCTCGTGCAAACAACAACAGTGTACTTTAATCCAGTGCTTAGCGAAAAGGAGAGATAGTTTGCTATTTGTGAACTTGTGGTGGTTTTGGAAGGAAAATTTCTGAAGCAGCGGAAACATACAGTGTCCCGTTCTGTGGGACTACGACCACTCCCCACCAAGAATTGATCTCCAACCCTCATCCAGGTCCATGTACTCTCGGAAAATAAGCCGACAAAAAGGCCCGACGAGCTCAGACATTCAATAACATCACTCACTCTCCATTACAAACTCACGCTCCGTCAGTGCTTTGACTCCTGATCTCCACACAACACCCGACCAGGCTCTGTCGGTTCGGTGAGGGAAGGGAGGATCTGAGATAGAATTGTAGTACCTTCAGTTTCACGCTCTCTCATTTTCTGATTCCCTACGCTACTTATCAGTTCCATTTAAAGTTGACAAAAATGAACTTTTATTTCACTAAAAGAAATATGTAGTTACTCGGTATAGGAAATTGATGATAATGAGTTACTGTTATTTCTTCCTCTGACTTCCTCTTTATTTTCTTTTCTTTCCTTTCTTTTTCTCTTTTGCTGCCATTTACGTGTTATTTTTTCTTTTTATTCACTCTACTACATCAACGGCTTACTTGAGTTCTATCTGAAATTTATGTAATACTTCACTCTCATCTAGGAGAGGATGGACTAAGTGCAAACTTGAAAAGAACAGATATTTTGCTGAAACCAATAACACACAGCGAGAGCTGTAGCAGTTGCCAACACTGAATTTGGTTAGGGGGGGGTAGATTGTAAGCTCTTGGTCGTTGTTCGTTCAACACCGTTTGTGAGATAACTTTAGCTAGAAAAATGGAATATCTATGTTTGGGATAACAATTAAGGTGCCAATGCTATCAAGTATCCTATATGCTAGAGGGGGTGGGACCACTATAATGCGTTCATCTCCCAATACCCAACAATAGCTTCTATATGATGCTGGGTCAAATTAATCTCCCCATACTCCAATCTCTCGCCAACTTGGAATTGTGATGTGGATGATTATAGAGCTAAATGGGATTAGGGTCGCATCATGAAAAATGCTAAGCTTGGGTCTGCTCATTGGGTTTTGGACGGTACTGTCTATGGCGTGTTCTCTTGGTAAGCTACTTCTATAAGTCTTCTTATCTCTCCCTGGTGATGGAAGATTGTGATTGGAAAATGTATTTACCGTGGCTACTAAAAATTCAATCATTGCTCGACTCTTAGTTTAGGACATTAACTATCATGATGTAAAAGTACAGTGCTGCAGCGAAACACGAAATAGAGGGAGATAGATTTCTTCATCTAGACCTTGTCAACAAACTGTGAGAATCCCTCGGATCCTGTGCCGTTCCGCCACGAGCTGTTGGTTGGTGTGGTTGGGTTGGGTATTGTGGGGTCCGTAAATAACAACTAACTACGTGAACGTCTCCACTGACACTCCCACCGAGAAATAATACCCAGGCACCCACCAGGTTTCCCCCAGCCAAGTTTAATAAAAGACAAAAGTAGAACACACAAGATAACGTATATTAGTCCGACAGCTGTTTAGGAATTTCTGGGAGTGGAAGGCCTTAAAAAACCATCTGGAGTGGTACGAGACCTCACTGAGTTGAGACTGAACCCAGGTCTACAGATAGATGAGGTGATGCGTGCTATAAACGCTCCAAATAAGCTCGAACTGGTCTGGAGGAGGCCAAACTGACACTATGAGTCTCTCGTCGAGATTGGAAGTGTATTTGTTCAATCAAGGGGCGAGTATGCTGGCAATGGAGGGGGTCACAATGAGGAAGAGCTTGGGTTTGTTGGGAATAGGGGGTTCCATTGAAAAATAATAAAATAATAATAATAATAATAATAATAATAATAATATCCTGCTTTATTTCCCCCGAAGAGGACTCATTGCAGCTTGAGGGTTGAAGGAGTTAAACCATTTCCCTCCACCCATGTTGCCATCGCCAAAACAACCATTGCTTATGATATGGTGAAGGAGGAGGGGGGAAATAACGGGGAAAACTGTTTCCCTCCTTCAACTTCCCCAGCCTCCCCCTGCCCATAAAATGGACTATCCTTCTCTGTCTAGGCCCATTTTGGAGTCCACCTGGATCATGGAACAGTGCCATTTGTTTTCTTTTCCATTTTATTTCAAGTGTGGAATCACATTTCAGTTGTGAAGCAAAACAAAATGAAAACTGAGAGGACCCCGATCGGCCTTACTCTGGTTCATGCAACCTGCAATTGTGAGAACTGGTTGAGTACAAGTTGCACATTAGGAAAACCGTATGTTGTGGGGCACCCATTACTTTATCAGCAAGCTGTAGTATTACGTGGTCTTGATTCAAAGGGGAATATGAACATTGGACAGCCAATTCGCAGGAGTGAAGGATGGGGCATCTCCAGGCAAAGGGGGAACTGTGGTTTTAAAAAACCTGAGAGAATACCAAGAAATGTCTAGGGCCCCTTCTACACTACCATGTAAAAGCCATATTATCAAAAGAGATACTACTACTACTACTACTACTACTAATAATAATAATAATAATAATAATAATAATAATGAGGTTAGTTTGTATCCCGCACCTCTTCCCAAAGGGACACAGGGCTTTCAACAATAAACAAATACCATAAATAATATAGCACTGACAATCGTCACATATCATTTAATACAACAAAAAACAATAGCATAAATATTAGTAAAGCAAATTTTAAAACTTGCCCTCTTAATACAGTAGAAATATATGCGCCATTGAAAACAAGCCACTTCCTATGATCAGGATATCCAGCATTGCGGGTTATAGTTAAGCCATTCAAGTCATGTCCGCTAAGGTGGTTAATGCTCTTCAGCATTATCAAAAGCCTGCTGGAATAGCCAGGTTTTTAACTCCTTCCTGAAAAGTAAAAGACTGGGTGTTTGCCTATTTCCTTGGAGAGGACCAAGGAAATAGGCAAGAGTTGGGGGCCACTACTGAGAAGGCCTCTCCCTTGTCCCCACCAACCTCACTTGTGAGGGAAGTGGGATCGATAGGAGGGCCTCCCTGACTGATCTTAAGGCCCGAAATAATTATCTGCTTTGAACTGGAATATATGAGTATACACTGCCATATAATCCAA